TTGTAGAAATAATATAAAGTAATATAAGTCTCTAACATGATCGTATAGCAATTTTAACATTTTATTAAAAAGAGTAATGCTATATAGCCCCAATGGGGTTACAATTCCAGTTTAGGCAACGTTAAATGACAGACCTAATGAAAAGTAGAATTAAATAATTTATTTAATATCATCTATCATTATATGTCACATTAATATCACATAAACTGTGGTTTTAATTTTAATAAGACTAAATAGCATTACTTTTTCAAAAAAAATTGTAATAATAAATTTCTCATTAAATGAAAAACTTGTTAGTCAAGAGAAGTGATTATAGGAGTGATGGATAATTAATGATATATAGGTGGTTGAATAAAACCACTCGAGCAAGCATTGAATGTGATTAGGCTGGCAACTAATTAATAATAATAATACTTAAGAGTGTCCAATTGGATTAGCACCCCACTTTCAACTTAATGAATTGAATGGTGTGACTAAAAAATGTAATTATGACAAGTGTAATTTTTTAATTTTTTGCATATAAATGAGACATTCTCCCAGCCAATAAAGAGTGTGCGCCACATAGGACAACTGCTGCAGTGAGCGACTGCAAGTAGCAATTAGAACAAAGAACATGAAATGAGCATTCTTGCACTTATATTAATTCTTAGTGGCATTTGAGTACTTCAATATTCTATTTATGTGGCATTTTGGTTTTTAAAATGGCTAGTGAGCTTTGTGAAGCTTCTTTTTAGTTGAGAAGACACCTTTTTTCGAGATGGACAAACTTGTTCGCAAGAAATTATCGTTGTGACAAGATAAACGAATTTGGCAAATAAGCTTTAGAAGAAAAAATAAATGTAATTTGAGCTTGGTTGGTTGGTCGACTTAGTCATGAAAGACTATCTAGATTCCCAACCTTTCTTCAACATATATTTATTTTTTCTAATTTATATATAGTTTACATTGTCTTTACTTCGGTTGGTTGAGAGTTCACATGATTCTTGATTGAAATGTGTTATGCCCTATTTGTGACCGTATTTACGATATCAACGTCTTAGATTCTCAATTCGATCAAATTTGTTGAAAATTAGGAGAAACACTTTAAAGTTCACACTACACATAAATAAAGTCGGGGTAGGATAAAACTTTACCCTCTTTTTAGTAGTTGTTACAAAGATGATTATTTTATACTAGAGATGTTAATTCACAAGTGAGATAAGAAATTTAATTCAAACACTCCCTAAAGCAAATTCTTAGAGAAACTTGTAAAAAGCCTAACAAAAGTCCAAAGCGATATTCTTAAGGTGAAATATTAAATTAATAATACATAATTGTCATAAAATAATACTAATTATTTTATTGTCTATATACAATCGTTAACATTGCGACTCTAGAGCGGTTTAATTTTGTGTTGCGGCGATATTCTTCATCCTTAGGCTCGGCATGATCCACTTTGGTTGATCGAACACACACATGGAGGTCGGCATTATTTAATTCACGCGGGACCCACGGTGCAATGTGAGGGTCGATTAACCGAAGTGGCACCAAATTCGGACAAAGTGGCTTTACTCTCAGAACAATAAGATTGGTGTCAAATTGTGATCCTATTTTGAGTGCCAAAAAATCCAAAAACCCACAAAATTTTCCTTATTATTCATGCTACGTGTCACACTAAAATAATTTGCAAATTTGATCAAATGTGTATGAATGTGTCTACTCCTTATTCATCCACGGCATCAAACATATTGCGAGTGCTAATCAATAGGCGACTAAATTTAATTATTGCCGTGAAAGAATTGCTTCACCTTGCGTTCTACACAAATTATGGTAAAATCCCATATGCAAATTATCTTTATTATATTTCATTATATTCATTCTAACATGATCGTACAGCAATTTTAACATTTTATTAAAAAGAGTAATGCTATATAGCCCCAATGTAGTTACAATTCCAGTCTAGGTGACGTTAAATGATAGACCTAATGAAAGATAGAATTAAATAACTTATTTAATTTCATCTATCATTATATGTCACATTAACATCACATAAATTGTGGTTGTAATTTTAGTAAGACTAAATATCATTACTTTTTTTTTAAAAAAAATCGTAATAATAAATTTCTCATTAAATGAAAAACTTGTTAGTCAAGAGAAGTGATTATAGGAGTGATGGATAATTAATGATATATAGGTGGTTGAATAAAACCACTCAAGCAAGCATTGAATGTGATTAGGCTGGCAACTCTTTAATAATAATAATAATAATACTTAAGAGTGTACAATTGGATTAGCACCCCACTTTCAACTTAATGAATTGAATGGTGTGCCTAAAAAATGTAATTATGACAAGTGTAATTTTTTTATTTTTTGCATATAAATGAGACATTCTCCCATCCAATAAGAAAAAGAGAGTACATTTGTTAGAACAAAGAACATGAAAAGAGCATTCTTGCACTTACATTAATTCTTAGTGGCATTTGAGTACTTCAATATTCTATTTATGTGGCATTTTGGTTTTGAGCTTTGTGAAGCTTCTTTTTAGTTGAGAAGACACCTTTTTTCGAGATGGACAAACTTGTTCGCAAGAAATTATCGTCGTGACAAGATAAACGAATTAGGCAAATATGCTTTAAAAGAAAAAATAAATGTAATTTGAGCTAGGTTGGTTGGTCGACTTGGTAATGAAAGACTATCTTGATTCCCAACCTTTTTTCAACATATATTTATTTTTTCTAATTTATATATAGTTTACATCGTTTTTACTTCGGTTGGTTGGGAGTTCACATGATTCTTGATTGAAATGTGTTATGCCCTATTTGTGAATGTATTTACGGTATCATCATCTTAGATTCTCAATTCTATCAAATTTGTTGAAAATTAGGAGAAACACTTTAAAGTGAGATAAGAAATTTAATTCAAACACTCCCAAAAGCAAATTCTTAGAGAAACTTGTGAAAAAGCCTAACAAAAGTCCAAAGCGATATTCTTAAGGTGAAATATTGAATTAATAATACATAAATGTCATAAAACAATACTAATTATTTTATTGTCTATATACAATCATTAACATTGCCCCTCTAGAGCGGTTTAATTTTGCGTCGAGGCGGTATTCTTCGTCCTTAGGCTTGGCATGATCCAATTTTGTGGGGGTCAAGAGAAAATCACGAGCTTTAACATGATTCGTCAAACTCTAGTATTTCTTTTTAAACTTCTTAGTTAATTATTAATAAAAATGAAAGTATAATATTGTCAACCAGAAAGGGTCGTCCATGTAGATTTTAGGATCGACGCCTCTTAAGAAAGAATGATATACACGAATACGAGTACACGACTCATCCAAAATTGAAGAATTTCAAGCGAACACATTAAAAGAGGGAGAAGTAAACTAAAGTCAACATGGTAGGTTGTGGTTATGAATGATCTAGTTGCATTAGACTATGTGGTAAATTTAACTATAATCTTAATGTAATTACAATAAAAATGTAAGCATTCAATCTAAAATTATTTGAAGAAGCAATCCCGTTTATTAGAATAAGAGTAATGCCACATGAACATCTTGGATGACACTTTGGTTGACCGAACACACACACATGGGGGGTTGGTATTATTTAATTCACGCAGGATCCACGGTGCAATGTGAGGGTCGATCAACTGAGATGGCACTAAATTCGGGCAAAGTGACTTTACTCTTAGAACAATAAGATTCATGTAAAATTGTGATCCTATTTTGAGTGCCAAAAAATCCAAAAACCCACAAAATTTTCCTTATCATTCATGCTACGTGTCACACTAAAATAATTTGCAAATTTGATCAAATGTGTATGAATGTGTCTACTCCTTATTCATCCACGGCATCAAACATATTGCGAGTGCTAATCAATAGACGACTAAGGTTAATTATTGCCGTGAAAGAATTGCTTCACCTTGCGTTCTACACAAATTATGGTAAAATCCCATATGCAAATTCACATTGAAAGAGAGAAATTACCTAAGAAAGCAAGTTGTTTAGAGCTATGAATGAATAGCCAGCTTTGGGAATTGTCTTTATTTCGTCGAAATTTTTGCTATTTATCAGGGAAAGGTACTCTTAACATTGAACAATTGAAGATAATAATGAGAATATGAATGTTAATGTACATAGATAGTAGCACATATTGACATCGACAGATTTAGTGTGGTGGCAGTGAGATCAGCTATCCTCACACTAAATTGCAATTTCAAGATCTTAAACTAAGATTTTGCACAAGATTTTCAAAAAAATTTCAATTTAAGTCAAAACTAAAAATTAAACCTTTATCAAAATTTATTGAAAAATCAGATTTTAATTCACCTAACAGGAGCTTAATTAGAAGAACTTTTAAAAAAATAAATTTAACGTGACTTTCTCAAAAAGTTCTTTCAAAAAATAGAACTCTTTTCAAATTAGTTTTCCAACAATAATTAAAATAATTTTTTCAAGAAACTCTTCTCCAAATATAGTAATAGAAAGAGTTTTGCGATATAAACGGGGTCATTGACAGAGTTAAAAACACGTGTCATTCACTGATTGAACTGTTTAAAAAAAAAAATTACCCAAACAAGTGCTAACACATGCACGTATTATTCCCCGTCGCCAACGTTTCCCTAATAGGAACCCCGCCGAACGGGCATTAGTACGAAATTGTGTTGAAATTACCAGTAAAAATAAAATATTCTCCAAACAGAAAAGAATAAAAGAAAATAAATAAATAATTTGTGTATACATATGAAGAGCTCCTCAGTCTCACCACCCAATAAAATCAGCTCCACTTTCCCTTCCTTTCTCATCAGCCTGTGAACGCACTTTCTCTTACACATTGCTGTGGAGATTGAGACATCTCGTTTTCACACAGACACACACACTTTACTTCTATTGTTTCTTATAATAGGATTCTCCTACATACACAACACAGAAAACACTCGAAGAATCTGTACTTAAACATTCGCTCACAAGAAGAAAAAAAGCTCCATTTTTTTTTAATTTTTGTGTAAAAACGGCAATGAATTCTTATCTGGGTATTTTGACCTTTGTATTTCATGTATTATTGGTTAGTGGGTCGTCAATAAATCTTCCAATACTATCATTTGATGAAGGGTACTCACACCTTTTTGGAAATGATAATCTTATGGTCGTCAAAGATGGAAAATCCGTTCACATCTCTTTAGATGAAAGAACAGGTCATTTTATATATGTTTTTATAATTTTATATTTGTTTCTTGGATGTGATTTTTGTGGGTTTTGTTATTGAATTTTTAATTGGTGCAGGTTCTGGATTTGTTTCACAAGACCTTTACCTTCATGGGTTTTTCAGTGCTTCTATTAAACTACCTGCGGATTACACTGCTGGTGTTGTCGTTGCATTTTATGTAAGTAAATCTTGATTTAGTAATTCCATTTTTTATTCAGTCATAACTGTTGAATGAAACCCCTGATTTTTAGATCTCTTTGAAATTTCTGTTGCTGAAAAACTCAAACAAAAATATGTAACTAGATTCTGGATGTTGTTAATTTTGAATAACATTACCTGGGATGTTTTGAATTTGATGTTTAATAAATTTAAAACAAAATCATGCTCAAATTCTGGTTAGTCATATGAACATGCTCAAATAATCTGCGTATGAATGACAGATGTCGAATGGGGACATATTCAAGAAGAACCATGACGAAATAGACTTCGAGTTCTTAGGAAACATCAGAGGAAAAAACTGGAGAATTCAGACAAATATTTATGGAAATGGAAGCACAAACGTTGGACGAGAAGAAAGATATGGCCTCTGGTTCGATCCCTCAGAGGATTTCCATCAATACAGTATCTTATGGACAGAGAATCAGATTGTGTAAGAAACCTTCAACACCACAGGGTCCTTTTCAATATTATTTTTTTACTGTTTTTGATTAAATAAATATATCTGCGTAAAAGTTTTGGTGAATCTGATTCTTGGGACTATTTTCATATACAGTTAGAAGTATCTCTTGAAGTTTCTCGTGCTGCTTTTACTGTGTTAGAAGTTTCTGTTTTTGATGTATCTGTTAGTGGTAATCGACATGTTAATCTTTTCTTCAAAACTATAAAGTATTGTCTGCTATGTTCTTTCAGTCTCATCAGTCATCCCCGGCCTGTTAATGCTTGGCAGAATATGCAATTTTAACAACAATACTGGCATTTCACGATGAAGATTATTTGAAAGATACCAACTTTAACTCGGAAAATATGTTAAAATATTATATGAATTATTTTGTATAGAATGTTTTGAAAGAAATTATAATTTATCTTTTCAACTTATCGCTTAAAATCCCCTGAATTTGAGTTTACTATGCTCTGCTTGATCACAAATAGGTATGTGGAAAGCCGGGCAATGTTGATCTTGTTGGCATTAACTTAGCTCAAAGCAACATTATTTCTCTTCGGAAATTGCCTTGAACATTGTCGTTAAGATGAATTATGATTATCAGATATAATGTCGGCTTTTTGACTTCTTGTGTTTGGATGTAAAGAAGAGGACTTTCTTTCTATGAATTATCGCCATTTCATCCTCGTCTGAATTGTCTTTACTTTTTACACGAGAATGTGTTTAACACAAGTATACCACACACGAGAGTGACGTTTTAGTGTGTTTGTAAAGGGGTTTCCTTTACGGCATCTATTTGGGGACTTTTATATGGCTTTTACAGTTCTCCTTTCTTTTCTTTCGATGAAAGGGAAAAAAAAAAAAAAGAATAGTAGGTGGCAAGAACATGGTTTGCCAAATTGATATGAATTATTGTATTTATCCGTACGTTGATTCTTGGTCTTTGGTGTCTTATGCTTTCTTGCAGCTTTTATGTGGATAGTGTCCCCATAAGAGAGATCAAAAGGACACAAGCAATGGGTGGGGACTTCCCCTCTAAACCAATGTCTTTGTATGCAACTATATGGGATGGCTCCGGTTGGGCCACAAATGGAGGCCGATATCGAGTCAATTACAAATACGCCCCTTACATAGCCGACTTTTCAGATTTCGTTCTCCATGGTTGTGCTGTCGATCCTCTTGATCAGTCCAAGTGTGAAGCTGCTCCGAAATCCGATTCAGTCCCTAGTGGCATCAATGGTGAACAGCGGGTGAAAATGGAAAATTTCCGCAAGAAGCACATGCAATACTCGTATTGCTATGACCGTTCTCGTTACAAGGTTCCTCCATCCGAGTGTGTGATCAATGCCAAGGAAGCTGAACGACTTCGAGGGTTCGACCCAGTTACATTTGGCGGGGTCCACCACCGTAGCAAACGAAACCACAGGACCAGATCAATCCAGGCCAAGGCATCTTCCATTTGATTACATGGCATTACTGTTTACTTTCCTTTGAAGTTTGCATTTTTTCTTTTCCCTGTGAATAGATAAAAGAAGAGAGCTGTAGATTCATAGAGGGTAAACAGAAATATTTATATATTTCATATTTACAGGTCCCTCATGGTTTGAATAAATATATATTTATATATTATATAGCATAAATTGGAGTTATTACTAATATATTTGAGTGGGGCGGGGTTGCTGAGGTGGACCAACCGTCGATGTGGTGTCAAGGAATAACGTTACTTTGAATAAAAATTAAATTATTTGGGCTCCATTTTTCAAAAATTTATTTTTTACGCTTACTTGCAAAATAATTTTACACGTAAAATCAAAATTTTTCCTTGTGTTGTTTATAACTCCAACTGCCAATGGGTGTAAAGGGAATAACAATACTCAAATTCGGGTAAAAATTAAATTATTTGGTCTTCATTGTTTGAAAAATTCATTTTTTCAAAACTCCTTTTTAACCAAACATTTTTTCATAAAATAATTTTATAAATAAATTCAATTTTTTTTTCTTATTTTTTTACTCAATATCTTCCAAAAGTCACTATTCCAAAATCAATCATGCTACATGTGTGTCATCTTTTACATTTTTGTTTTGCATTGTGTCACGTGGTAATACACCATTTGATAATTAAAAATATATATATATATATTTCCTCCCACAATTATTTGAAAACAAAGAGTGTCAAAAGCGATGTAAGGGATTGAATGTACATTTAGCATTATTGATTCCAAAATACATTTTCCCACAAAAATCGTCTAACAAGGGTTAAATTTTCATAAAAAAAATAATGAAATGAGCAATTGATAAAGAGTAATGCTATTTATCATAATAATGATAAGATTTCAGTGATGTGACAATTTAAATGAAGGATTAGTCTAAATGTACACAATCCATTACATAATGGATTACACCCTCCTCACATGGAAGGGGGCCCACACACAATAAAATATTCTTGGACTCTCCTCCATGTGAGGGATGCGTAATCCATTAGGTAATGAATTGAGTGTACATCTAACACAACTCTTAAATGAAATAATGAGATATGACAGTTCAATCCCCCATCTCTCTCATGAAAATTGAACTGTCAAATTTCATTATTCAATCTAAATTGTATCTAAATTGTCACATCACTGATATTTCATCATTATAACGATAAATAGCATTACTCATTGATAAATGTTGGGTACCAATATATGTGATTAAAAATAAAATTTTAAAATAATGAAGGCTAAAGAGGAGCTAAGAAGCCTCTTGTACAAATTTAAACTAAATCGAAATTAAAAGATAAACAACTTCATGCTTAGTTGTCGTAGAAGACTACTAATCTGTGGAGAAATCAAGATTTCATTCCAAAAAGGCTATCTATATTAAATAGAGTAATCTAGCATAATATATTATGAGCTTGTTTGGGAGAGATTTTTGGGGAAAGAATTGATTTTGAATAGTGATATGATGGGAAATGTGTGGTTGAAAAAGAAGAAAAAATTATTGATGTGATGGAAAATATTATTTTATTGAAGAATGTGTGGTTGAAAATGAGAATTGATTTACTGTAGAAA